TTAACCATGTTTGCTCGAGTTTCACCTGGCCGTCCAGCCGCGGCGGTGCTCCTCAGCCTGCCTTGTCACAATGCCAGCACGCGGCAAGGCATCGCCCCCGCCACCCCCGGCCCCGTGCGATGGCCCGTGGGAGATTCTGCCGGATCCGCCCGCACCGACTCCTCAGCCAGGTGTCGACGTGGTCTTTGAGCAGGCTCACCTCGAAGACATCCGCCGTACACCAGGGATGGGCGGCAAGACCGCCTGCCAGTGGCAGCGCGCGCTGCGCGCCGAGTGCATTGTCAACAACTTGTCGTTCAAAGACGTAACAAACGACCCGTCCTACGACTGGAAGCAACTGCTTCGGTCTGCCGCTCCGGGTTTCGCTGAGCGCATAATCGGGCAGGGCATCGCCCAGGTTCTCTTTCGCATCATCGAGACAGAGCGCGACCCTAACTACTCCAACACGGATGGCCACGGCAGGCACTTCTTCGAGTTCCGTCGTGCAGACGGTTCAGCCATGCGCCTGCATTACCATAAGAACGGCCGACCCGATGAGCCCACCTATGTCGGTCCACCACGCGCCGTTGCTCAGCCTGCCGTGCCTGAGCCTGGCGCTGCTCAGCCTCATGTTCCTCGTGGCGGCGCTGCTCAGACTGCCGTGCCTGACGGTGGCGCTGCTCAGCCTGCCGAGACTGGCGGTGATGCCCCACTGCTCTTCACACAGGAGCACCTGCAAGAGGCAGCCTGCTCGCGCCAGATTGTGGGCCGCGACGAAGCCAGCGCCGCTCTCCAATCGCTGTTGCACTACCACCATGGCGAGACTGCCCCAGGTGCTGTTGACATCACCGATGGCTCAGCATTTGACTGGCTTCGATGGGTGGCACATATCGAAGGTGCGCGCGACGTCATCCGCAATGGCGTCCACAGGGTCTACGCTGTCCGCTGGAATCCGCACTGGGCTCCAGAGGCCGTCTTCTGCTACGGCAACAACACCTACAGCACACTGGTGCCCCGCAAATCGCGCTACACAGGCTCGTGGAGCCACGCGCGAATTGTGACTCACCGGAACGCCAATTGGGTGACCGAACCGTTGCTATCTGCGGCCCCTGTGGCAGCTACGCCGTGGCTGGTGTTGCGGGATCAAATAACCTGGGAGTGATCTCTGGCAAACGAGATGTGGTGCTTCTCAGCCTGCACTCATGTGACACGCAATGCCGTGCCCTGCAATCGCGTGGTGTTTCTCAGCCTGCACTCGCAGGTCCTTCGGAGGTCAATTGTTATGAGTTCGGCACGGTCTCGGTCAAGTACAGCGTGCTGTGGGGATCCCGAGATGGGGCCTGGCTCAAGGTGCTCAAGACGTACTGGAGTGTCCCAGAGCCGGAGTGCCAGCTGATCCTCGGGAGTTGGAACGGCATTTTCAGGCCGTGGCCGGACACGTTCTGGATCAGGACGGGGGGGTCCGAGCCCGAGATAGATGCTAGCGCTCTGCAGTACAAGTGCTTTTCAGCATGCGACATCCTGCGGTGCTTCTCAGCCTGCAGGGTTCGCAGCGTGCGGTTTGCAATGCATTCCTTTTCAGTATGCGAGTTCCTGCGGTGTTTCTCAGGTTGCAGGGCTCCGAGGCTCTTCCCTTCGATGCCAATGTTTTCAGACACCGTAGCTCCGTTCCGTAAACATCTTCCAAGAGCCGCTCGCAACTTTTTGCAGCTGGCGGTCTGCAGACGTAGTCTGTCTCAGCATGCGAGCTCCCGCACGCTTCGCCGGCTTTTGCTGCGCGGACAATTTTCTCACACACGTCAGCGCCGTTTGTAGGCGTCAGAAAAACATGTAGACATTCACGAAGGGCTCAGTCTGTATATCGTCACATCATTACATACGCAGTCGTCGAACACATCGGTGTACATTCAGCGCTTTGTCCTTCTAGCTGGGTCGCTTCGTGCTGAGGCTGAGGCTGATGCAGGCTGAGGCTGAGGCAGGCTGAGGCTGAGGCCGAGGCCGACGGCAGACTGAGGCTGAGGCTGAAGCAGGCTGAGGCTGAGGCAGAGGCAGGCTGAGGCTGAGGCTGAGGCAGGCTGATGCTGAGGCAGGCTGAGGCTGAGGCTGAGGCTGATGCAGGCTGAGGCTGAGGCAGGCTGAGGCTGAGGCCGAGGCCGAAGGCAGACTGATGCTGAGGCTGAAAGCAGGCTGAGGCTGAGGCTGAGGCAGGCTGAGGCTGAGGCAGGCGGAGGCTGAGGCTGAGGCAGGCTGAGGCTGAGGCTGTGACTGCGACTGCCGTTGCCACTGCGACTGTCCTCGCGAATGCGACAACGACTGCGAGAACAGCAGAATTCTACAACTGGATTCTCATCCGAATCTTAAGGGGAATGCTTCCAGATATGCTCCTACACATGGCTGTTAGGTTGCTTTGCCGGGATAATTTCTGGAGTTTGTGCGCGTGGAAGGGCCTCCCGGGACCCCGGCAGGACGGGCCGAAACCCACTGGGAGAGTTCTTTTGGAAAAAGAACCAAAACCAAAACCAAAACCGAGAGGGTCAAGCACGCCAGGCACCCCTGCGATGAATCGAAGACGTCTACGGCGAATCACCGCCGCCCCCTGCCTTTTTGGAGACGCCGATGTGGCCGAAAGTTGGATTGGAGCTTGGCCAAGCTATCGGACCATGAGTTCCCCGAGTCGGTTTGGAAAGCTTTCGGGGAACACATGGGAGAGAATGATTATGAACAGGAAGAGGAAGAGGAAGAAATAGAGTAGGAGGATGAGGGTTGTTAGGAGTCTCTTGGGGCACCCTTGGGGTCTGTTGGGGGCTTCTTGGGGGCCTCTTCGAGGCCTCTTGGAGGCATCTTGGGGGCCTCCTTGGGCCTCTTGGGGGCCTTTGGGGGCTTCCTGGGGGTCTCTTTGGCCGTCTTAGGGCGTTCCTGGTCCGTCTGACGCCGTCTGGAGCCGTCTTGGGGGCCTCTCTGGGCCGTCTTGGGGCCCTCTTGGGGCGCTTCAGGGCCGTCTTGGAGGCCATGTTGGGCGTCTTGGAGGCCTCTTGGGCCGTCTTGGGGCGCTCTTGGGGCCGTCTTGGGGGGCCCTTGGGCCGTCATAGGGCCTTCTTGGAGGCCTCTTGGGCGATCTTGGGGGCCTCTTGGGCCGTCGGAAGGCCGAAAAGAAGAAAACGCAAAAAACCTTCAAACAACCTAAGGAAAACCAATGATTTTGGCCTCTTCGGGCTCTCCTGGAGAACGTCTTGGAGGCCTCTTGGGCCATCTTGGAGGCATCTTGGGGCCATCTTGGCCGTCTTGGAGGGCATCTTGGGCCGTCTTGGAGGCATCTTGGAGCCATCTTACCCGTCTTGGAGGCCATCTTGGCCGTCTTGGAGGCATCTTGGAGGCCATCTTGGGCCATCTTGGCCGTCTTGGAGGCCATCTTGGGCCAAGTTGGGGCAACAAAGGCATTGACAGACGGATTTTCGGAAACTTACGGGTGGCCGGCGGGACGGGCCGAAGCCCACTGGGGAGTTCTTTTAGAAAAAGAACCAAAACCAAAACCTGAAACATCCAGCACGCCGTGCACCCCTGCAAGCAGGGGGCGGCGGATACTGGCCTTCGGCCCATCCCGCCACCGTGCCTGGGTTGTGGGTCATAGGCCCTTCGGATATTCGTTGGGATGTCGCGGAAGGCCTCTCGGGGGCCTGTTGGGGGCTGTTTTGAGGCCTCTCGGGTGCTGTTTTCGGGCCTCCTTGGGGCCTCCCGAGGGTCTCTTGGGGCGGAAGGCTCGGATTTCCATTTCGTGTTGCCTCTCCCTTCTTGGGGTCTTTCGGCCCTCTTGGGCCGTCTTGGGCGCCTCTGCGGCAGTGTTGGAGCCCTCCTGGGCCATCTTGGGACCCTCTCGGGGGCCTCTTGGGCCGTCTTGGGGCGGTGTTGGGGGCCTCTTGGGCTGTCTTGGAGCGTCAGAAGCTCGAAAAGTCGAGGACCCCAAGCACATGGAACAACCAGATGACAATCAATGATTTTGGCCTCTCGGGGCCCCCTTGGGAGGGCTCTTGGGGCTTTCTTGGGCCGTCTTGGAGGCTTCTTGGGCCATCTTGCGGCCATCTTTTGCGTCTTGGACCGATTGTGCGGCGATTCGGGGCCCTCTTGGCCCGTCTGGGCGGCCTCTTGGGGCCCTCTTGGCCCGTCCTGGGGCCCTCTTGGCCCCGATGCAGTCATGCGGGAACGCTCGGGTGAGTCCAGAGGGTGCGCCGGGAGCCTCGGAAGATTTTGGAGCTAGGGGTTCGGGCCCCTTAAAAAGAATTCTCAGGATTGAGGACAGCCCCAGAAAATTTTGGAGCCAGGGGTTCGGGCCCCTTAAAAAGAATTCTCAGGATTGAGGACAGCCCCAGAAAATTTTGGAGCCAGGGGTTCGGGCCCCTTAAAAAGAATTCTCAGGATTGAGGACAGCCCCAGAAAATTTTGGAGCCAGGGGTTCGAGCCCCTTAAAAAGAATTCTCAGGATTGAGGACTGAGCCCCAGAAGATTTTGGAGCCAGGGGTTCGGGCCCCTGATAAAAGGAATTCTCAGGATTGAGGACTGAGGCTCAGGGGTTGAGGGATGGACCTGGGGACACTCCACTTCGTGCCACGGGGGCACGGTGGCGGATGCGGAAGAGGGATGGAGGAGGAGGAGGAGGAGGAGGAGGAGGAGGAGGAGGAGGAGGAGGAGGAGGAGGAGGAGGAGGATGAGGAGGAGGAGGAGTTGGAATGATAGTAAGAGTAGGAGGAGGAGGAGGATAACGAGGATCAGCACGAGGAAGAAGAGGAGGAAGAAGAGGAGGAGGAGGAAGAGGAGGATGAGGAGGAGGATAATGCTGAGGATTGACGAAAAGTAAGACGGAGGAGGAGGAGGAGGAGGAGGAGGAGGAGGAGGAGGTGGAGGTGGTTGCATGAGCAGATGGGGCGTGTGCAGGGCTGGAGGCTGGACGGCCCACGCCCACCGGCCGTCGCAGCCTGCCGCGCCGGCCCTCCGCCGCCCCCCCCCCCCCCCGCAAGAGCGCAAGCCAGGCCACCGCCTTCGCCTACGGCCAGACCGGCACCGGTAAGACGTACACGATGGAGGGCGACCTGGAGACCGACGAGGGGCGCGGCCTGGTCCCGCGCACCGCCGCCGCCGTGATCGGCGCGCTGGCCAGCGAGATCTACACCGAGCGCCCCCCGCCGCTCCGCCGCCGCCCGTCGGGCGCCGGATCGCCGTGCCGCGGCGGTGCGGAGGGCGCTCCCGCGCCGCCGCTCCGCCGGGTTGCTGCCGCCCTGCTGGCCTTCGGTCGGACCGAGGTTTTGGTAGGGGGCCACATGTGAACCCTACCCCTACCCCCACGATTTCTGAGGGGGAGGGTGGGGTTCACTTCGTCCGGGAGCTCCCGAGCAAAGTGAACCCCACCCTCCCCCTCAGAAATGGTGGGGAGTAGGGGTAGGGTTCACATGTGGCCCCCTATTTGGACGCCCGAAATGGGCACGGAAAGCATGGGCACAATACCCAACGACAAATGTTGTCCCAAACCAGCCGCGGCCGCTGTCGGGCAGGCGGCCTTCTGCCTCAAATGGACACGGGCCGCGGCGGCGTGGGCAAGGAATCCTGTTCAGAATGAACAGGAACTGCTGTTGGGCATCGTACCCATTCTTTCCGTACCCATCTCGGGCGTCCAGAGAGGTACAAGATCGAGTCTGTCTCGGGGAGGGTACCCTAGTGCTCTTCGTGTTTGTTGGATGTTCCCGTGCATCCTGGGGGGGGTTTCCCTCGAACGTTCTTCGGTCTGGCCGGCGGAGGGTCTCGCGTTCTTGAAGAATGCTCCTGTCCGACCATAGGGCTGGTGGGAGGTGGGAGGGAACGGATGGGGGGCGGGGGAATGAAGGCTTTTGTTTTGATCGTCTCTCTTGGGAAGTCTCACTTTGCCTCGGTCCGGTGGTCATCCTCGGATTCCCTGGACCCCTGGCAGCAAGATTTGGGCCCAGCCTTATGTGACCTCTGAGGGCTTCTTGGGACGCACTTCGAGATCCCTCGGGGCTCTCTTATCGACTTTCGGGCCTCTCTTGGGACCCACTCGTGTCCACCTTCGGGCCTGATGGACCAATCGGGATCCGAAAAGGTGAGAAGGCCCAACACATCCTTTGCTTTCCAATACTTCTAGACCCCGTTGACGGCCACTGAGGAGGCTTCTTCGGCTGATCCATCTCAGAAGTCCACCGGCGATTCTGGAAGTCCATCGGGTCGTCTTGGAGGCGTCGCAGTACACCTTGGATACACCTTGGAGCATTTTGGGACAATCGTGAAGTCGTCGTGGAGCTTCTGATGGCCTGTTGTTGCGTTTCTGGCGTCTTCCCAAAGGTACTCGATCACCTGTTCTTACTTGGAGATCTACAACGAGGAGCTGAGCGACCTGCTGGCGCCAGTCAACCAGGCGGGGAGTAGGGAAGAGGAGCAGGTTCGATTTGTAGAAGGCCGCACCTCCAGCGACTTTCCCACTTTTGTCCCTCATGCCGCCTTCGTGACCTCTTCCAGCTCTGTCGCGGTCACCATGTCCATGACCCCTGTCATTTCGTCAGCTGTACCACGTCTGCTTCTTCAACCTTCTCTACCTCCTCTACTTACTCGGCCTCGTCCACCTCCTTTGCCTCTCCTGCATCCCCTGACCTCGTAGCTCCGCCTCGCACACCAGGCAGTCCTGCTCAACCAGCTCTTCCACGCCCTACCTGTGGAGCACTTCCTGGGTCCTGCACCTTTCCCTTTGGCTTCCTCCTCTTGGCGCGGCCCCCTCTGCCTCCCGGCTCCCGAGCCGCCTGACTCCGCCCGTGCCTCTGCTCCCGCCTGCCACCGCGGGCTCTCTGCCGCTGCCGCCTGCACCGTGCCCGTGCCGCAGCCCGTTGCGCGAAGACTCTGAGCGCTCCTGGTCCTGCTGGTGCCCTGGCCTTTGAAGTTTCAGGAGCGAGAGAAGGACGTGCACGTACATGAAATCCACGCTGTTTTCGAGATCTCGCATGGCGCGAGTGTTCGTATCACGCGGCCGGTGTCGCGGGTGAAGGGGCCGTGCTCATGTGCATAGCTGGGCGCGTACGTCCTTGGTGCCCTGGCCCTTGAAGGGCAGCCGGGGGCCGCCAGCCTGGCCGACCGCCCCCCGCGACAGTCTCTCCGGAGGGGGAAAAACACATAGACACAAGTAATCGTCGATTTCCTAGGAAATATGGGAACATATGGGAAGTGGAGGGGGAAGACGAACACCCAGAAAATATATAGCAAAATATGGGGGATACTGTTATTTGTGTGTATTCATTTGTGTGTTCCAGGGCCCCTTCAGTCTCGCGGTCCCCGCGTGGTCTTCGGGCGGTTGCTGGTGCGTCCGGCAGCCCGTGCAGTCCACTGGAGAGGCTCCTGGGCGTGCCTGCGGCCGAGCTCCGCGAGGGCCCTCGGTGGCTCCAGAGCGTGCTGGGGCGAGTTTCGAAGCCGCTGGCGTTTGCCGAGCCTCTCCGAGGCGCTAGTCTTATTTCGGGCTAAAAGGTCAAAAAATACTCAAAACATAGTCCCCAGACTATTTTTGGATTATTTATTTGATTATTTTTGGGGTGTTTTTTTTTGTTTTCGTCGAAAATCCCCCCGTAGGGGGACAGGCCCGACTTAACGCTAGTCCAAGGATGTAGGCCCGAGGCGTTCCTCGACCAGGTGCGTCGTCTGCAGCACCTGGCGCCTGCGCCTCCGCCTGCGCTCGGCGCGTGGATCTCCAGGCCGCCAGCAGCTTGCCTCGACAGCTCCGATGATCTGCGCAGCGGGCGCGAGGCGCAGGTGCAGCCCGTGCGCGACGCTGCTCCGCGTCTCGAGAGCTGCCGGCCGCGCTGCGGCGAAAAGTTGCGCCCCGACGTCCACAGGGTACAATCGGGCACCTAAGGAGGAGAGAGGAACACATCCGCCCCCATTCATCCTCATACTACTTCTGCTCCTCATCACTAGGAAATTAATATTAATACTAATAATAATAATCATCATCATCATCATCATCATCATCATCATCATCATCATCATCATCATCATCATCATCATCATCATCATCATCATCATCATCATCATCATCATCATCATCATCATCATCATCATCATCATCATCATCATCATTATCTGCATGTGCCTCTCCTGGAATGGATGGTAAAACGTGCCAAGTACAGCTGTCCAGATTACGTCGCCCAGCTGATGCGCGGGAAGCCGTGCCTGGCAGATAACCCGCCAAGCGGGGCTTTCAGTGATGACCGCAACAAAGGGGTGGAAGACGATCGAGGAGTGGATCGCGCACCCGCGAGACGGGAACGACCGCATGATTCGGGGCATGCGCAGCTCTGGTGACATCTACCTCGACGAGAAAGCGTGGGAGAAAACCTTGGCAGAGATATCGATGGGGTACTGCGAAGGGCCTGGCGAGCTCCCAGGACTCGACCTCGATAACACATGCGTGACCCCCCGGTGGCCGAAGTGGGAGCTCGACGAGGACGGCACATGGAAGTGTCGTAGTATATGAGATTGGAAGGCATCCAGGGGAAGCGACACCGTCGCACTAAGCGATGTCTATTTGCTTGGGGATTTATCATCGGCACACGCCGTGGTGCGCATTCTGAGAGAATCTCTCCCAGCAGCACGCGCCTCCAAGGTTTCCGCATCGGCTGGGAGGTGGCTTTCCGGCAGCACCCTCTGCGGCCAGGGCATGCTCCATACCATTACGAATTGGTGTGGGATCCCCGACTTGAGCGGGTTGAATGGGTATGGCCGGTGGGAGGAAGCTTCGGCAGCAAGGCTGCTCAGATGAATGTCGTGGAACACCCTCATTTCATATGCTACTTCGTAAGGGTCTGCCTGGGTATCGTGCTCTCTGCCACTACTCACGACATGGGGACATCGAGCTGTAATGTTCTGCAAGGCGCGCTCATGCTCTTGTGTTGGAGATGATGGGCCCTGCCGGTTGGAGGTGCGGCAAATGGCGGCCAGCCGCCCAGTGGGCACCTCCGCCTGCTTGGTGTTGGGCACCGATTGGGCTTGGAGGCGATCGCATGGCTCTGCGAGGCCAAAGTAGACGAGCTGCTACCCCTGATCCGCTCCCACAGGTCTTCTGGGAGGGTGACAGCAGCAGACGCCTCGACGGTGCAGGGCTCGTTCAACTGGGTGCGGTCGAGCTTCTGGGGACGGTGCGGAACAACAGTATTGCCGCCGTTGCGGACCCGCCACAGGAGTGGCAAGGTCTTCGGGCTTAATGGCGCCGTGTTTGCCATGTGTGGCTCGAAGAAGCATTCATCCACGAAAACTGGCGTCGTGTTCAATGCAACGAATCTTGCTTACCCCTGGTCGTCACCATCTGCGACGGGGAAGGCTCGGGCAACGTCGCCGTGGCAATGTGGCACCCAGCAGAGCCAGCCAGGCGCCCCCGCGTCACCTCTTATACGAGGGTCCCGGGGAGCGTGCTTGCGAAATGGGCACAGCACGCCCCCAACACCATAGTTCCATCGAGGGTGTTGGACCACTGCTCGCCCTAGCCACACGGCCAGACCTGGAGCACCGACTCTGGATTCAATTCGTAGATAACACTGACGCCATGCACGCGCCGATCAAAGGCAAGGGCGTGAACGCGGATCTGAACAACGTGATGCACGCCACGTCGAAAATCGTCCACCAGCGACGACTGCATCTGTGGGTCGAGTGTGCAGATGCCCACAACAAGCTTGTAGACAAGGCCCGTCGCGGGTGTAGGGGCGACCTCTACCAGCAAGGCTGGATCTGGGACTCGCCAGGGGATCAGTGTAAGTTTTAATAGGCCGCCGCGGGACCTGCACGTCGCCCCCAGCAGCAGAAGGACAGCAGAGACGCTTTGTCGTCGTATAAAAAACCGGAGCGGGCAGGATCGCCATGAAACTGCGACCCGTGTGAACGGCCGTGCGGGCCTACGCCGCAAGATTTGGAGATGATGGTGATGATGATGAACATGATGATGCTGATGCTGATGCTGCTGATGATGATGGTGGTGATGATGATGATGATAGTGCTGGTGGTGGAATGAGGATGACGATGGTGATGATTCTTCTTCTGCTGCTGCTGCTGATGGAGCTGATACTGAAGATGATAGCGATGGTGGGGAAACGGATGATGACGATGATGCCGATGATCAGGACGATAATGATGGCGACGACATCAACCACGTTGTCGACGACGACGGCGAGGAAGATGATGACGGCGATGACGATGGCGATGATGATTATGGTGATGACGATTTTGATCTTTTTTGGCGATGGCCATGACAACGGCGTCGACGACTATCATGAACATGCTGATGATGACGGTTCTTCTTCTGATGGTAATTATGATAGTGGCGAGGGTGGTGATGATGATGACGAGGTTGACGATGATTATGAAAATGCGAGTCACGACGATGACGATGACAATGATGACGACGCAACGATGATGATAATGATGATCCGGATGATGATGCTCATGGAGATGACCATAATCATGGTGATGATGACGACGATCATGCTGAGAATTGTGACGAGTATGATTGTGATTTTGGTGCTGGTGCTGATGGCGTCGATGCTTCCGGTTTTGCTGATGGTGACGAACATGATGCTGCTGCTGATGATGATTATTTTTGTGCCCATCTTGTGCACAGGGTGTGGCCTGCATTCTCAGACCTCCGAGTGTTCGACGTGGACTCCAGTCCTCTCGACCCAATGCCCCTGGCAGGTTTTCCGTCGCGGGCAGTTTTCTGTCGGCCCTGGTGTCCGAAAGTGGTGTCTGAGGCCGAGCTTGCCTTACAGCGCTTGCCGTGTTTTTAATCGCGACGTCGGGAGGCCTGGAGTTGCAGTGCCCTTGAACTGTGCTTCGTCGGCGAGCGAGCGGGGGAAGTGAGAAGGAGAAGGCCCTCTCAGAAAGCGGCGGGGCTTCTCAGAAACCGTCGCGCCTCCTGAGCAGTTTCCTGCGCTTTCGGGGAAGCCTCAAGACACTTCTCGGGAGGCCGGGGGACTTCGGGCCTCCTCACGAGGCCCGCCCCTTCTCACTTCCCCCCGGGGTTCGCCACCGACTCGAACTTTGCCCCTGTCCTGCGCCTTTTGCTTCGGATGCAACTCCTGGGAGGTCAAATTCTGTTTGTGCCCTGGTCCGAGCCTTAATCCCGCTTAATCCGGTTTAATCCCGTGTAATCCAGCTTAATCCCGCTTATAGTCCCGTTCCATTTGGCTTAATCCGAGGCCCACTCCGGCATAAGAGCCCCCCAGTGGGGCTTGATCCTCTTTTTACTCTTTCCGACGAAAACCTCCCAGCAGTTGCCTCCTAACTTTGCCCAGGCTGCTCTGCTCGTTTCCCGCTCCTCCTCCCCGCGCTGCACGCTCTGCGCCCGCCGCCGCCGAGCGCACCCTCCGGCGGAACCTTGCGGGTTCCGCCGCGCGGCCCCGCGATCGCCTCGGCCGCCCGCAGCAAAGATGCGCCACAGCCCGCCGCGAAGCTCGACCTCAAGGACGTGCCCGGCAAGGCGGCACCTCCGAAGACCGCTTGCTCCTCTTCGGACGGGGCCAGGATTACGTCGGGCCTGTCTCTCTAAAGGGGGACAAATTCAAAAATAGTCCAAAAATAGTCTGGGGACAATCTTTTGAGTATTTTTTGACCTTTTTGGGGTATTGTTTGAGTATTTTTTATTTGTCGTCGAGAATCCCCCTGTAGGGGAGCACGCCCGACTTAAGGCTAGGACGAGTGTGGATCCGTTCCAGGGCGTTCTGGAGCGGTCTCATAGCGTTCCCCAGAACTCTCCGAGAAGGCCGCGGCGCCCGAGATCTCCTCCGGAGTCGTCGGATCTCAGGGATTCTTGATCTACTCCCACCGGGATCGATCCTCGTCCCGGCTTCGTCTCATCTTTCGATCGCGCTTCTCCCGTCGTCGTCGTCGCGCTCCCGCTCCGCCTGCTCCTGCTCCCCGTGCTCTCCTGCCGCCCTCGTCGTCTGGCTCCTCTCAGGAGGAGAAAAAACACAGACACAATTAATCGTCCATTCCCCAGAAGATGTGGGGAAATATGGGAAGTAGGGGGGAAGACAGAAACCAGAAAATATCGGAAATATAGGAATCTGGTTGTTGGTGTCTATTTATTTTCGTGTCCCAGTTCTCCTTCATTCTCCTGCTTCCCCTGCTCCTACTTGCCGTTCCTCCCGTCGTCCACGTCTTCTTGTACCCCCAGGCAGAAGGTGGCGGTCCTCGGGGACCAGGTCTCGACCTTCTCCTCCGCGCCCAGCTCGTTCTTCTCTTTTTCCGCTCCTGTGGCGTGCGGACGCGGTCGTACCCTTCACGGTCGTGCGCGCCACTCCCGGCTCCTCCTGCTCGGAGGGCGCCCGCGCCCCTTTCCCCGGATCCCAGCTGACCCCCGCATCGGTGCACAACGCCCTGTGACCGGGCGAGGAGGGCACGTGTACACCGCTGCCAGTCTTACGTCGGGCACGTCCCTCCACAGGAGGAACATCAAAAATAGATAGACTGGGGACGATATTCAAAATTCAAAAACAACTCGTTTGGGGACGATTTTCAGATTATTTTTTTTGCCCCTTTGTGGATATTTGTGTGTGACTTTTTTGTTGTTCCTCCAGAATCCGCCCGTAGAGGAGGTCATGCCCGACCTAATATGCCAGTCTCTTGGCACGCGCCGATGGCCTGGGCGTGGCCGGCCGCTGCCACAAAAAGCTGCTGCCCGGCCCCACGGCTTCGAGACTCAGCGGTCGAGCCACTGCTCGGGGGCGGCAAACGAGGGGGGGTGATGACTGGGGGGGGTGGATATCATGGCGGGGGCCATGATATTTCCCCAGATTTCATGGCGCCTCTTCTTATTTCATTACGTCCCTGGCCCCCCCGCTGGGCCGCGCACGTGCCGCCGGCCATGATTTGCACCCCCCCCTCTTGGACACCCCCCTCCTGGCCGCTCCCGACATTGCGGTCGGGATCTTTTTCGATGGCGTGTTGCGCCGCCGGTCCTGGCCTGCCGCGCTTCGGCGCGACGCGCGGTGCACGTCCGGACCCCCAGGCGCCAACGCCCCGAGCTTCTCCCGGCCCTCCCGCCCCGCGGAGCGGAGCGGCACGCGGTCCGCTCGCAAGGCATGGCGTGTCGCGGGGGCCGCCGCCGCGACGCGCCAAGCAAGAGCTCCCGACCACAGCTGCTGCGCTGACCCATGGATTCTGCGGTCGAGCCACTGCGGTCCTGGCCTTTCAGTCAGCTGGATCCCGAGGCCGGCGCCGCGCGGGGAGGGGGGGGGGAGGCCGCCTCCCTCGTCGACCGCTGGCCCAGCCCAGGGCGTCTGCTGCATGGGCCTGTCGGAGGTGCCCGTGGAGTCCGTGGACGAGATCCTGGCGCTGGTGCACCGCGCGCAGGATGGCCGCCCGAGCGACGGACGACGACGGGGTCGACTACGCCGACCTTGGCGCGCGAGCTGCCCTCGTCAGGTCGCACGTGGGCGCCCTCGTTTCCAGGGCAGCGTGCCGCGCCGGCGGCCCCCTGAGCCACCGCGTGAGGTCGCTATGTTCGGGGGCGGAAAAGAGGGGGGTGATGACTAGGGGGGGGTGGATATCATGGCGGGGTCCATGATATTTTCCCAGATCTCCTGGCGCCGCTTCTAATCTCATGACGTCCCTGGCCCCCCCGCTGGGCCGCGCACATGCCGCCGGTCATGATTTGCATCCCCCCCCTTCTTGGACACCCCCCTCCTGGCCGCTCCCGATATGTCATTCCGCGTAAGGCTCGTTTCGTGTCGTCGCCCGCCTGAAGTCAAGATCACGCACCGCGTGCGCGCGCGAGCGCACGCGAGCGCAGAGAAGAACGTGTGCGTAATGAGCACATGCAAGCACTCGCACGCGCATGTACAATGGCGCCTGCACGTGGACACGCACATCATCTTCCTCGATCGTTGAGATACTTGTCTGTCATCGAACCCTGATCGCTTTGCTGCCCTTCTCGTGCGCCGGATCCTTCGTCGTCTCGGTTTGGCGCTCTCCGCGGTATGAGAGGGGAGAAGGAGTCAGAGACGAGATCACAGAGGAGGGGCATGATGATGATGGTGATCAAGATTGCGGTAACGTTGACGATGATGATGATGATGCCGATGAAATTGATGATGATGATGATGATGATGATGATGATGATGATGATGATGATGATGATGATGATGATGATGATGATGATGACAATGATGATGCTGATGATGATGTTGATGATGGTGATGATGATGATGATGATGATGATGATGATGACAATGATGATGCTGATGATGATGTTGATGATGATGTTGCTGATGGTGATGAGGATGGTGATGATGGTGATGATGCTGATGATGATGATGAGATGATGATGCCGATGAAACTGATGATGATGATGATGATGATGATGATGATGATGATGATGATGATGATGATGATGATGATGATGATGATGATGATGATGATGATGATGATGATGATGATAATGACGACGAGGCGGAAACTAGGAAAAAACACTACAGCCAAACTCAGACAGATCCTCAGCTCCACGCTCATCCTCAACATGTGCCCAGCGCCCACGTCTCAGAGCAGACCGATTCTTGGCGCTCCTCCCCGCTCAGCTCACCATGTCCACCTCGCGCCCGGCGCGCCGCCGGCCGCCCAGGAGCGGCGCCGGGTAGCGGAGACCCGCGTGAACGCGCGCAGCAGCCGCGGGGGGCTCAGGATCAGGGTACCCGTCGTGGTCGGCGTCGTGGTCGTCGTCGTCGTCGTCGTCGTCGTCGTTGGGACGAGGGGGAGGACGATAAGGAGAAAAGGGTGAGGTTGGCAAGGCGCGGTGGCCTGGACATGATTTGTTTCGAACTTCCTGATCTCTTTCTTTTTTTTTTTTTTTTTTTTTTTTTTTTTTTTTTTGCGGGGGGTTGCATCTTTTCGTGTCACATGTGATTGTGCGTCTATTATTTTGGCTGGTGTTGCCATGTGTTGTCGTCATGCCGTTTTTTTGATGGAGTGAATGTGCAGTGCTTCCTTTTTCCAGGAGTCGGCGGGGATGGTTCCCTGACCGATGCGAATCTTTGATTTCTTGCTCAGCTCCTTCGCGCCAGGGTCGACTTGTTTACCAGCGGAGTCGGCGGCCCAACGCCGTGCCGTGTGGTGCTGCGTGCAGGCGCAGGCTTATTGGAGCCAGAGCGCATGATGAAGGGATGGTGAGCAGGGAGGGCGGCATGGGGATTGCAGGGCTCCTTGTTGGTAGCCGAGGCTCGCACTGCCTCTTCACGATGCGCGTGCGCTGCCGCCGCACCGTCAACGGCGGCGAGATGGAGAACAGCGGTAAGCTCCATCTGGTGGACTTGGCTGGCAGCAGGGGCGCAACCACATCACGCTTTCTGAAAGAGGGGAGGAACGGGTTTGAGGCAGTCTATTGCGTCGCAGGGGATCCAGCAAATTGTAGTGCATCCCCCCAGCCCGCCCAACGCTTCCTGTGAAGCGCTGAACCGGTTGACAACGACCTGTCTGGCGGTCCCCGACAGACATCATCTTCTTGCGGATCGACACAGATTGTCTTGTCCTCTGCAGTGCGATGGTTAGCGGTGCGCTTATGCCAGACAGAAGTGGAGGAGGTGGTGTATCCTCAGATGAGGAGGACATCGCTGACAAAGTTGGGCAATTGGAGGAAGTAGGAAGTGGATCACGAGGATGAGGAAACTGAGTAATTTAGTGCAGCAGGCTTGGGGGGTGGAAGTTTACGCCACCTTTTGTTTTTCAACCTTGCAGCTGAAGAGCTCAAGCTTGTTTGGATGTCCCGTGAGTGAGAGCAGGAACCCGCTTCCCAGCTTCATGCGTCAGAGGGCGGGCTGGAATGACCTTATCGGCCGCACTGCCACACATTATGCTGTGGCTTAGCCTTGCTGAAATCATGCGGAGAGCTAGGACAGTGCATGTACCAGGACAGCTATGTCCAACCTAAACCTCGCTGATAGCATTCTTCAGCCAAACAAGATGCCAAGAAATTAAGTGAGCACATGATGCTCATATGCTGTGGGGTGAGGGAGGTGGAGACAGGGACAGAGTGGGGGAAGGAGAGGGGTAGGAATTGGCAAGATGGGGAACGAGAGAGTGAAAGCGTGGCGGGGAGTCAGAGCGAGAGACAGAGAGGGAGAGAGAAAAGGGTCAACGTAGAGAGAGAGAGAGAGAGAGAGAGAGAGAGAGAGAGAGGGGAGACACACACACACACACACACGCACGCATAAATACAAACATACACACATGTTCTATCTGTGTATGTATACATCTATGGAAGTAGCCAGCGTGGACCCCAGAGCAGTGCGTTATTGCACTGGAGGTGAAAATTATGCGATGTAAGCGATGTGGCGGAGGCTATGTGGTGTGAGCTGATGAGGTGACAGCCATGCGATGCAAGCTATGTGGTGGGAGGTATGCCGTGCAAGCCTGGTGGTGTGAACTGGAGGCGAACGCTATGGGGTGTAAGCTACGTGTGTGGTGTGAGCTATGCTGTGCAGTCTATGCGGCAGCCAAGGGGCAGCCACGGGACGGCCACGGGGCATCCAAGTGCCGCCACAGGCGGCCGGAGGGACGGCCACGGGGCGGCCAATAACAACATCCTCGGGCTGCCCACCCAAGTCCCCAGTAGAGCACGTAAGAACCCCTAAGTGCACGCGCTGTTGCGAAGCACTCCAGGGGAGTAGAGCTCAGAGGCGACCAATTGAAGCCGGAGGGCACCGCTCGCGATTTTTCTGGCCGTTTCGCTTCAAACATCCTCAGCATTCAGACAATCGGACGCAAACCTCACGCAGATCGCGACGTCAGGGTCCGAGCGCACAAATGATTGTCAGCATTTTAGCATCAGCTTTCAAACTCACAACGGGGTTCGATGCTTCGAAACGCGGTTCTTGGAAACATGTCCGTCTCGCGTAAGACATCCCCCAACATTGAAACCCGATGTATGCAAAGTTGTCCTCGTAATCGTCAAGACGATACATTCGCTTGAGGGACATGCTCCCAGAGTTGATTTCGTAGCTTGCGATCCACTGCAATCGCACGGTATCGAGCCCCCTCCTGCGCCACACATCGCAAGTTGTGGCAACCCCATCAGCATTCGATTTCGATCCCGCTATTGTATCTCATCCCCAACAACCATGCGATGAGCCACATTATCCTTCTTCTCTCCTTTGTCCTCTGCTCCTCCATTTCCTGATTCCTCCTTCTCCTCGGTTCCGACTTCATACTCCTCGTCTTGTCCACCTTCCGCGATGCTTACGTGCTGCAGTTCTTTCCGTATGGGCGCGGTCATGTGCGTGCTACTTGTATAGTGGCTATACATATGCATATTTAGATATAGGTCGAGAGAGAGAGAGAGGAACATAAACACATCAAGTTTTTGCGTCGGCGGCTAGGCAGGGTGACTGCGCTGGCGAAGGGCTACCTAAACGGGGGTACCATTGTAGCGAGTTGTGCAACAGTGCAGGACGGGGAGAGATACATAAACAAAGCAAGGAAAAGAGAAGCCGATGGGCCAGAAGAGGATCAAGGGAGAAACAAATACCTGGACCCGATAGCTGGCGTTTACTAACGGCCCTGGGCGTTTACCAAAAAGCCCCGCCCTGTTCGATTCCCTCTGTTGGTGCGTGTGCGAACGGCCTCGCGCGTCGGGGTGATCATCCTGGGGGTGGGTTTTCTGCCCTCTAGAGGAGGCTGAAAAGAGAGAGGGAGAGAGATAGGCAGGGACCGAGGCAGAGGGGACGAGAGAGAGAGAGAGAGAGAGAGGGAGAGAGCCTCACAGAAGGAAAGCGGGGGGGGGGGGGGGCGAGGAGGAGGAGGAGGAGAAGAGGAGGAGGGAGGAGGAGGAGGAGAGGAAGAGGAGGGCAGGGGTCGAGGAGGAGGAGAGGAAGAGGAGGAGGAGGATAAATAGGAGGAGGAGGAGGAGGAGGAGGGAGGAGGAGGAGGAGGAGGAGAGGAGGAGGAGGACGGAGGAGGAGGAGGAGGAGGAGGAGAGGAGGAGGAGAGGAGGAGGAGGAGGAGGAGAGGAGGAGGAGGAGGAGGAGAGGAGGAGGAGAGCATGAGGAGGAGGAGGGTTGAGGAGGGAGGAGGACGAGGAGGAGGAGAACGAGGAGGAGGAGGAGGAGGAGGAGGAGGGGGAGGAGGAGGAGGAGGAGGAGGAGGAGGAGGAGCAGGAGGAGGAGGAGGAGGGGCATCAGGAGGAGGGTCGAGGAGGGGAGGAGGAGGAGGAGGGGAGGAGGAGGAGGAGGAGCAGGAGGAGGAGTGTGGAGGAGGAGGAGGATGACGAGGAAGGAGAGAGGAGGAGGAGGAGGAGGAGGAGGAGAGGAGGAGGAGGAGGAGGAGGAGGAGGAGGAGGAGGAGGAGGAGGGAGGATGGGGATGAGGAGGAGGAGGAGCACGAGGAGGAGGGTCGAGGAGGAGGAGGAGGAGGAGCAGGAGGAGGAGGAGGAGCAGTAGGAGGAGGTGGATTTTTAGAGGGGCGATCCGTCGGAGAAGAGCTGCCCCGCTGGCCGTTTCGCCGCGGGGGCCGCGGGCCGGTGCCCAGGCAGCGAGTGCGCCAAGACGGCCTCGGGCACCGCAGATGCTGCCGCAGGCCGTGGTGCGCCCCTACCCCTCCTGCCTCCTGGCTCCTTCTCCTTCTCCTCCTCCTCCTCCTCCCTCCTCCTCCTCCTGCTCCCTCTCCTCCTCCTCCTCCTCCTCCTCCTCCTCCTCCTGCTCCTCCTCCTCCTCCTCCGCTCTTCGTCCCCCTCGTCTTCTTCTTCCTCCTCCTCCTCTTTTCCTCCTCCTCCTCCTCCTCCTCCTTTTGCTGCTTCCTCCTCCTCCTCCTTTTCCCCCTTTCTTTTTCCTGCCTCTTGAGGCGCTCTCTAGGGTCTGTGCCCTCCCCCTCCTCCTCCTGTTTCCTGCCTGCCATTGCTGCTGCTCGTCTCGGCGGCGAGCCCGGGGGGGGGGGAGTGAGACGGAGCAGGCCTTCTCAGAATGCGGCGGGGCCTCTCAGAAGCCCTCCGTCCTTCTGAGAAGCCGTCTCTGTCTTCGGAGAAGGCCAGCGGCCTTCCGAACCTTTTGGGAAGGCCCGCCCCCTCCGACTTCGCCCCTGGGCCCGCCGCCGACTGTCGTCGTCCCGTCATGGCGCCCTGCCCCTTGGGCCCAGCAGGGCCTAGGGTGCCAACCCGACTTGTGCGGCTGATGCTCCAGAGAGACCAGGGCTTGGGACGCGTCGGCCACCGCCGCCCTCTCCCTCGTCGGTGGCCCCGACGAGGTTGGGGGAGAGGGTGCCGAAACACGCTCCGAGTCCAGCAAGGCATGAGGGTGCATCCCGACTTGTCTGGCTGATGCTCAGGGTGGGGGCCTGTGCTTCGGGGAGGCTGCAGCACCGCTCCATGATGTGCCATTTATTAACCGAGTCTGCAGGGTGGGCCCCTTCTCTCTGCTAGGATCCAGCAGGGCCTCGTCAGGCCCCCCGCCCCCTCCTCCTCCTCCTCCTCCTCCTCCTCCTCCTCCTCCTCTTCTTCCCCCCACGCGTTTGCCCTTCCTCCTCTCCCCTCCTCCTCCTCCTCCTCCCTCCCCTCTTCCTCTCCTCCACCTCCTCCCTCCTCGTCCTCCTCCTCCTCCTTCTCCTCCTCCTCCTGCTCCTCCTCCTCCTCCTCCTGCTGCTCCCCCTCCTCCTCCCCCTCCCCCACGCGTGCGCCTCTTCCTTCTGCCCCTCCCCCTCCTCTTCGCGCACGTGGCGGCCCGCAGGGAGTCACAGTCTGCTCCCGTCGCTAGAGCCACCGCGCCGCCAGAAGGTGCAGCGAACCATCGACGCCTCTCTGCGTTCGTCCACGTTCCGGTCACCTCTGGCAGGCACTCTACGATTGGGAGACCCCGAACCAGGTGGTGAGGTATCAGGTGGTGACCTGGAATCCCCAAAGAGTCACCGTCGGGTTTTGGAGCGCGGGGTCGCCGCCGGGTTTCGTGGCTTCTGGACCCACCAGCGTTCGGGGCATCCTCGAAAACCACACGTGTCGCTAAACCGGGTGGTGACACCAAGTCACCCGAGATTCACCGCTGGGTGTTGTCACCGCCACGTTTGGGGACTACCCATACAAAAGCGTCTTGAGGTTTGGGGCTGTCTGTCCCAGCCTATCTTGCCTGCTGAACTCGCCAAGCGCTGGTCAGATATGTCCACGCTTCTGAAGACCCTGCGCCCTAGCTGGCGCTGGGCCGCATTCGAGACGCTCAGCGGCGGGTGGACGAGTACACACCGCATGCACGTGCGGGTCCCGAAGTCGTGCGTCTGCGGCTGCCGGGGTGACCCCGACGCGTTCCCGCACCGCCTGCCCTGCCCCGTCCTCCGCTGCCTCCTCTGGCCCCCTGGCTTCCCACCTCTACAGAGCATTTTCCTCCTGCTGCGTACTTTTTTGACCTCTACGGATCCACCGCATAGTGCAACCAGCTGGCAGGGCGGGACCTACAAGCTGTGGGAAAGAGGCAAGCAACAGTGCCAAAGTTAGGCACCGTCGCCTGAGCCCTCTACCCGTCAGCGCCAAAGAGACAGCTCGGGGCCGAGGCCACGCGCAAGTGCCCAAGCACAACCTGCACCTGCCACAACATCTCTAAGAGAGGGGGCAGGCACACGAGACCAAGGGGACCCCGAGCTGCAAGCGCAAGAAAAAGGCCAGCTGCAGGGAGACTGCAACTGGACGCTATCTCGAGCCGACTGCCTTCGACTGTGCAGGAGGACAACAGGCGAGACAGCGCCCTCCCTCAAGGGCCACGGTGGCACCGAGACGAGGAGGGCAAAGGCCGTGGGACGCGCAACGCACACACGCACGAGAAGCGCACCCCACGCCAAAAAGAGGATGTTGGGGCCCTGAACCTACTCTCAAAGCCACAGCAACATCCGCCGAGCCACGGTCAGGATGGAGTCATCCCCGTGCTCGGACCAAGAAGAGGTGCACCCAAGATGTGCGCGCTCCTTCCCCCAGAAATGGGGTGCCTGACGCACGTGCACGCTTACGCCCACGATAAAGAGAAAGACCTGGCAAAGAAAGCTCGACCACACACAAAAGGACGACGAGCCCACAGCCCCTGGTGCAGCCAGCGCCAGGACGACCGACGGACTCGCCCCAGATGTGGGGTGACGCACGGATGCCTGCCAAAAGGGTCAGTCGCATCGGGCCGTGCAGAAGAGAGAGATGGCGAACCCTCGCCACAGGGAAAACTCGACCACCCACAAAAGGACGACGAGCCCGAAGTCCCAGGTGCAGCCAGCGCCAGGACGACAAATGGACTCGCCCCAGATGTGGGGTTAAGCACGGATGCCTGCCAAAAGGGTCAGTCGCATCGGGCCGTGCAACAAAACGAAGACGAATAGGCGGCCCTGCGCAACAGAGAATCAATCCGAGCTGTCCGACTCGTCCTGGCGGCGTCTCGCCAGGAAGGAAGGCGTGAGGAGTGGTCCCTGAGGAGGAGGCTGCGGAGCTGCACCTTCTTTGGCCACTAGCCTACTCCGCACGCGTACGGGACCCTCTCGATGGGAGGAGCAAGCTGCAGCAGACGGATGGTCCTTGCCATCGCAAGGACGTTGCACGCACTCCTCTTCCCCCCCGTCAGTCACACCCACCGAGTCCCCACCCACTCCAGACGGTCTGTCGACGCCCTCAAAGACATATGAGTCAAAACAGGCCATACAGTTGTCTAGGTCGACTGTGACCCGTTCTTTCCGCTTGAAGTAGTGAGGGTGGTCACCGCGAAGCAGATATCGCCAACCATATCTAGCAGCACGCGACGGCGGGGGTGCGCATTTTCCGCCGAGGCCTCTGGCTGAGGCCCCTGAGGAGTAGCACTTGCATCTTAGGCAGATGAACAAGACTGAGCCGTCGGAGCAATTGAAACCCACCGTGCGGTGATCCAGCGCTTGCTGCTTAGCCGCATGCAATTTGGAAAAAAGCCACAAATCGCCCTGGAGGCGGGCAACTCCTTGCCCCTCTTCGACCCAGAAGACAGACAGCACACCTCCAAATGCCGCTCCATCGCTCCCGCTGGTGAGGCACGGGGGGGGGGGGGGCTCGAAGAGGGGGCGAGATCAGGTGGGGTGTACGGCACATCGAGGGGCAACTTCGGCCAGAGCGGCAGAAGGTTGGCAGCAAGAATGCAATAAGCGCGGGCGGCATCCACCATGCGAGTCACTTCCTCCACCTCCTCCGGGGCAGACGGGTGGAGCAAAAGGCCCTGCTTGGCCCCAATGCCAGCGTCAGAGTTCCCTTTGCGGAGAAACCTCTCACGAGCAGACAGGCCCTCCTCTTCCACACAGGTGGGCCTTGACCTTCGCAGTGTCCTCTACAAGCTGACCTTCAAAGGAGTTGGCCTGCAGGATCATGCCCGAATAGGTGCGCTTCCCCGAGTATCTTTCCGTCTCGGGGAGCCCACTTTGATGCGCAACATTGGCGCAATCAGAATAGAGGACCGAAGGAAAAATCATAAATTGGGCAACCACGCACCTAGCTGAGAATGCAGCGGCTTGTGGGGTCTGCGGGTAGTGGGCCCAGACAGGGCCACGAACCTCTCCAAGGCACTCTCCACCGTCTGAATTCATTGAGACAGCCCAAGAGGCCGTCGAGAGCTCTCTAATGGGGTGGCGCTGGCAGGGCCCGTCAATGAAGAGGTGACCCCACATTTCTCCATTGGCGGGGGCCCTGGGGCCCTCAGGGCTGATGAGCTCTCTGCAGTGCCAAGTGTACTGAAGGGAGTTCGTACCCTCTTGAGCTGGCCTAGGGGGCCAGTCGGCGGGGTGGGCGAAAGCCCCTCGAGTGTAAAGGCATATATCTTCATTGTTGGCCTCAGTTGACAGGGGCGCTAGGGCGTCGGCAGCAACAGAGGCGGGGACCAACTGAGCTCTCAACTCAGAGACCTCCTCGTCAAGGCAGCTCCACAGCCTGTGGGCGATGGAGTCGGGGGCGACCCTACACCTGGGGCATAACGGGTCCACGTGGTATCCAGCACTGAGGGCACGGTCAGCTGTCCATATGGCGCAGCTGGTGCACGCGCGAACCCAACCTTGCTGGGCAGGGGTAAACTTCTTAGAAGAGCAGGCTGATTTGGGGATGTCCAAACACAAACGCTTCCCAATCCCCCACTTACCACCCAAGTCCCGCTCCAGACTTCTCAGGTAGGCGTCCTTGCAAGGCGTTTCAAGCAACTTGGGGAAGGTAAGGCCCAGGGAAACCTGATGACCCCTATCGTCAACCACAGTCATGAAGTTGGTCATCCTCCGCCCAAGACGGAGCAAAGAAAGCCTGAGAGCAGAGAGCGGTCCCTTGACCGTGGGCCACGTGACCCTACCCAGCGAGAAAACGGCATTCCACGCAGCCCGAAGGTCTTCAAAGGAGAGAGAGCCATCAAATATCCTCGTGTGAGTGATCCATATCTCTTTTCTCCATCGAAGTATCGGGGCACTGGCCGCTCTCCAACAGGGATCCTCCGAAAGAATGCTGACAGCCGTGAGGGAGCGGCTCTTGGCGAAAGGGCGCACGGTCGAAAAAGCTTGGCGTCTCATCACGAGAAGCTGTTGGTCGCTGACCCCCGAGATCTCCGCTCCATGGCCCCTCCAGCGAG